CACCTCTGGCAAAGTGAGTAGTGGCCTGAAGGCCAGGTGCAGTTCTGGCTCAGAGTTCCCTGAATATGTGGGGTTAACTCACAGGCAGAATGAACAGGCGCATCTGAGTGATGGCAGGAGGCAAGGAAAGCAGGGCTCCTCAGCCTCCCTTGTCTTGCTGCCTGCCAGTGGCCCCTCTGTGTGTGCCAAGGCTGCTGAGATTCTTAGAATTCTCACTTAGGCTGGGGTCCTGTGTTGAGTTTGTAAGTGTCGTCTAGAGTGTGTGTGTCTGCTACATCGTGCATGCTGAAGAGTGGAAAGCAGGCTGGACATGCCTCCTTGTGGCCCTGCACTTTCTGCCACATGACTTCGTATGTAGGATTTTGGTCTTTGAAAGGACTGCAGCGTCCAGCATCCATTCAGTGAGAGCAGATTACTGGGCCCTCCTGCCCTCCATGCCTGGTCTCTCTGTGCTAGAAGGCAGTGTGTGGTCATGACTGCTTGGGATGTGTTCTGGTTTGTTTGCCACTATACTGAATATCGAGCAGATCAGGGCAGGCAGACTTGCTTCTCTCCTCAGAATCTTTCAAGGAAAAGTCGAGTTGGTCTTAGCCTGGGAGAAAGGAATGTTCTATCCAGTTGTATTGCACTGATGTGTTCTGAAAATGTTTTTGTTGCGAACAGATGCCTTACAGAGGGGGTCTCCGGTCTTGGGTGCAGGTCTTTTTGACTGGTCTCTGCTTCTTAGGATCATCTCTTCTGTATCTTCCCCCAAATAGCTGTTGGGAGGGTCTAATGAAGCAACTGTCTGGAGACCAATGTTTATTTCAACATGGTTGAAGTTGTTTTTGCTTTCACTTTCAAGCCAATAAAGCTGGTTATTAGAATCTGTAATTGCTGCTGTAATTACTCTCTTGGAACCAGCAAAGGCATAATTAAATATGGATATTCCAAGTTCTATTTTTTCCATCTAAAAGCAACTTCGTACACTTCTGTGGGCCTGGGTTAGATTTCAATTACGAAAGCCTGTTCACAAATGACACTGGGAATTCTTTGGCAGAAGAGAGACTTCTTTGGATGCTTCTTTGAATATCTGGTTAGATGAACAGCTCCTCATTAACTCAGTAATTGTTTTTTAGTTCAACTGTAGGGAATTTGGAAAAGTTAGGCAAGGCATTAAGAGCCAGTAGTGTGTATTGATGCAAATATTGGATGTGGGTCTTTGCACTTTGGCTGTGCAGTGGCACCTCTGCTCGTGGGTGCTTTTTTTTTTTTTTTTTTTGCGAACCCTGCATTGGGTGACAAATATGACCAAGGACATGAACATGGCTGTCTTTTCCAGAACAAAGTAGGTCTATGAACTGAGGTGCTGTAGTATATAGGAGCAGATTTCTGTGGCCAGAAACACAATTGAGACAGAGGAAGTTTTACTTGAAGGGTGAGTGTTTAGGAAGGATGTCATTTTATTTGTAAAAGCCCCTGGTTCCTCTGAGCTTTCAGTTTACCCTAACTTATACTCTACTTCAGTGCCACGTGCTTGAGGCTGGTTGAAGTTAATATTTATGTGTACACATAGTCTTGTGACAGAGGCTGACCCTTAGCTCTTCCAGGGTTACATTACTTGTAAATCATGTTTGGGAGTTCTCAAGAGTATACCCAGGCTCACGGAATGCTTTGGAATCCTTAACTACTTGGGAAATACACACAGAAGTAAAAAACTGTACTAAGTCAAGAGTCATCTGTATATGAAAACTCTATGAAACAGGATTAAAAATTGAATTTAATACATAGTAGGTGTTGAACATTTATCAGTCATTGTGCTGGATTTTGCTCTACAGAGAGGAATAGTACAGTCATCTCATAGGGTTCTCTTGCTGCCTTCCTAGTATATTTATTTGCTTTCATATCATTTATTGCTTGAGGGGATTTAGAAGTGGAGGTGGATGTCACGGAAATTTAGGATTGGCATACAAGGGTCCACTGCCAATGAAGTCAGGTGTGGTGGGCATGTCTGTAATCCCAGCTACACTGGGGGCTGAGGCAGGAGAATCGCAATTTCAGCCTGGGCAACTTAGTGAAAATAAAAATGAAAAGGGCTGGGGATGTACCTTTGTGGGGGAATGCTTGCTTAACGTGTGAGGTCCGGAGTTCAATTCCTGATAAATCACACATGTACAAATATTAGAGAAAAAGATACAGCAGGGCTAAATCTATGATGATAGGGAAATAATAACAACTTTAGTTTTAAAAGCCAGGTTGTTGCTGATCATACAAAATCAGGTTTGTAAACATTTTGTGAGGCTCCTGCTATACTCAGAACACTGAAGAGACTGAAGAGCAAGGGCAGCCTGCCCTCTCAGTGTGTTCTTCAGAATCATCCGAGAGTCACTTGCCACTCTTTGAAGCCTATGATGGGGAATTGCAGAGGGCTGGGCTTATGCAGACCCGTGGCTGAGCTTGCCCCTGCATAATGACAGGTGACCTGGATGAGCTGCTTCAATGGTTTAACCTGCAGTCTCCATGTTAGAGTGAGGTCTGGGATCTGTACTCCACGAGCAGATGTTGGAGGTGGACGTGATGCAGCAGGCTCTAGAGTACTTTGGTGAATCTAGAATGGCCAGCTAGTGGTTCTCAGCTGGCCTGGATGGGGCACCCTGGGAAAGGGGCACCTGTGTGATGTGGGTGTCTGGCCTGAGAAGGTTTGAGAGTTCCTGGGTGATTAGGGTGTTTGGGCCAGTTCTACAATGGGAGGCAGGGGCGGGGGGTTTAGCTCGGTCACATCGTGCCTCACTCACAAGCACAAGGTCCTCAGTTTGATCCTCAGCACGCGCGCGCGCATGCGCGCGCGCACACACACACACACACACACACACACACACACACACACACACGTTACTGTGTATAATGGGAGGCAGAAGGGAAGTCTTGGGGAAGCAGTTCGGGAAGTGCTGGGCACTTACAGGACTCTCCCAGGCTGACTTTGTGCTACAGTCCCTGAGACTTGGACTGTGGAGTCCCTTGCCTCTGTAGCACTTTGCAGGCCGCATGGAACCATGTGGTGCCTTTGTCCTGTGGACAGCAGGAGCTATGGAAGACTTTAAGCAAAGGAATGATTGGGTTTGCACTTCCTCTCTGGACACTCCCTGCTGGACTGGATGCCCCCGTCCAGGGCAAGCTGCTCTCCTCTTCATTAAGTGGGAGGCATAACACTTAGAATGGCAAGGCATGCACTTTGGGGTGCCACACCTGGAACTGCTGTCTGAACCTGTTTGCTAATCTGTTCAAAGAAGTGGTTGTTCTGCCTTACCCGGCTGCTGCTGTGAGGAACTGGGGGAGCATGCCCGTGATTTAGTGCTGGCTGAGGGCCAGGGTGTTCAGCAGGGTCTTGAGGTTGGCCAGTGGTCAAGGGAGACAGCAGATTGGGTGACATTTCAAATTTTAATGAGGTAACATACGTTTCATTCTTCAGATTTTTTTGCAGGTTCTCTTTAGCTTCCTCTTTGACCAGAGGAGTGAGTTGATTTATTCTAATTTTGGGGGAACTGTGGATGGTCACATTGAGGCAAAGCCATTTCACCTTGGCAAATGGGTCTAAGGATGGAATCCTAGGTTGAGAAAGTGTGAGTAGAAGGAACCTGTTATCTATCTGTGTGTCTTTCAGAGAACCGCAGCTCAGTGGCTAAGGTGATTGTATTCTGGCCCCGGCACTGGCCTGAAGCTTCTGGACGTGGGGGAGCATGTGTGCATGGGTGTGTGTGTGTCTGGGGCTAGCGCTGCCGGCTTCAACTCATCCCTTCTGCCTGAATCTGCTGAGCCACCTTCCTGGCTTTGATGCCCATCCAAGATGTATGCTAAAAATAATTTCTGGCATATAAAGAGGGACATTGAGGCAGTAAAGGGAAGGAAGCCTGGGTTTGGAGTAGTCGGGTGTGGGCTAGATTTGGCACAAATTCACCTTGTTCAAATTGCTTGCCTTGCGTAGACCTTAAAGCAAAATGATTACTGGGTATGATGGTGCATACCTGTAATCCTATTGGTCTGCCATGCTCAGGCAAAATCAAAAGTTCAAGCCCAGCCTGTGCAACTTACCCTAGACCCTGTCTCAATAAAAAATATGGGTGGAGCTTATGTTTAGAGAATGCTGTAGTAGCCATCTGTAGACATGAGACGTTCTGTTTTTTTGTCAGACAAGGTTTTACTACACAATTCAGACTGACCTTGAACTCATTATGTAGCTCAGACTAATGATTCACCATGATCCTCCTGCCTCAGCCTCCCAAGTGCAGAGCACCACTATGTGCAGCTGGAACTTTCTGTTGACTTTTGTTGAATAAATTTCCAGAGATAAATTACTGGCTTAAAGGGCAAGAACATCATTATTGTGTGTTGCCATGTTACTCTTCAGAAACAGTATAATAGTTTATAGATTTGTTGGCTTTGTGTGACAGCATTTTAACCCAGTCTAATCTTGTATTTGGTATTTGTTTATTACTTTTGTAATTTAGTTGGCATAAAATGGTACTTTCCTCCTACTTTACAATAATTAAAGCTGTGAGAGGTTTTTGGGTATCTTCTTTGTGTGTGTGTTTTTTTGTTTTGTTTTGTACCAGGGATCGAACTCTGGTCCTTGCACTTGCGAGGCAGGCAGTGGAACCACTGAGCTAAATCCCCAGCCCTAGTTTGTTTAATCTCATTTACTCCCCGTAAGAAGCCTAGCAGAGATTCTAAGTTACTTACCTACCTCAGGAGGCAGAACAGCCTCAGTGCATTCTTGCCCTGCGTGCCTGGCAGTGTGTGGTTACCAAGGGAGTGTGAATTCTGCTTGTGAGTTCATTTTTCTGGCTGCACATTGAGGTATGTGCATTTTCTTTGAAAACTGAATGTGGTCCTTGTAGAAAAGCTTACCTCTCTTAAAAGGGAGGCCACAGCCAAAGTTCATCTAGTACAACCAGGGAAGGCTCACTGACTTCAAGGACACCACCCTGTCTGGGCTCTGAAAGCATGTTTTCTCCCCTACACAGCGGCCCTTCAGGCACTGAAGCGCAAGAAGAGGTACGAGAAGCAGCTGGCGCAGATTGACGGCACGCTGTCCACCATTGAGTTCCAGCGGGAGGCCCTGGAGAATGCCAACACCAACACCGAGGTGCTCAAGAACATGGGCTATGCCGCCAAGGCCATGAAGGCTGCGCACGACAATATGTACGTGTCCACTGGTCGGGGGAGCACCCCAATGGCGTTCAGTGCTGCCCCTGTAGTGACCCTCGCTCAGGCCATGGCCCTGGGCGGACCCCTTAGCTAATCATTCAAGCACCTGTTTAATTTGCCTTCTTTTTGGAACTCTCCCTAAAATGGACTGTGTACTCCACTGCCTTTGGAAGCAGATCTCATGAAATGAATGATAACATTGTCTGAGTGATTCTGGGTTATTGTGATGAGCACAGTTTCAACCTGGAATGCCCTTACATGGTCCTCTTACTCAGGCCTCAGATTACTAGGCTGGAGAAAAGCCTATGACCCCGAGGGGGAAGCTGGCTTGCCTTAAGTGTGAGTGTGGAGGGAACTGGGGTTAGAATTAGTGCTCATGACTTTGCCATTACTGTCAAGGCCTTGGTACATGTGAGACGTGCTTTGGATTGCTGTTTTTGTTTTTTATCTTTCTGTTCTTTTGTATGATTTTGATGGGTTTAAAAAAATTATTTTTTGCTTTCCTTGCTATCAGGTTATGGCTGTCATGTTGATAAGCATTCTTACCCACACTCACGGTGGTCCTTTCTTCTCTGGTGGCTCTTTTGTCATGTGCAGTGACCTAAGAAATTAGATACCCAGTTTGTTAGAATTGCAGTTGAAGGCCAAGGTCAGTAGGTTCCAGACAAGGGCTTCTCCTATGAACACTACTCTGCATTTGTTTTAGTTCTTAGACTCAGCAATCCACATTTGGGGTGCTTGGAGCTTCTCTTGCTTCCTTTTGAGTAGAACAGGAGTTGGCAAAGTGCAGCCTGTGAGTTTGCCATCTTTTTTTTTTTTTTTTTTGACAGCAGGGATTAAACTCAGGACCATGCACTTGTGAAGCAGGCTGTGGCACCACTGAGCTACACCTAGTTTTGTAAATAAAGTTTTATTGAAACATCATCATGCCACTAATATACATACTGCCTAGCTGCTTTTGTGCTCCAAAGCAGGGTTGTGTAACAGGAACTGTACACGAATCCTAAAACATTTACTATCAAGCCCTTTACAGAAAAAAATTTGCCGCTCCCTGCTCTGGAAATGTGAGGTTGCAGGAAGAGTGGCCTTCATGTATGTGAGGAGTTGCTTGAGGTGGAGGTGAGCTACGTGGGTGAGGGCCATGTCTGCTTCATTTCCATATTCTCCCAGATGCCTAGCACAGAACACATCTCAGTAAATACTATAAATGCTCTGAAGTCTTTATAGATCACATTGAGTAATTGTATGTTTGTATTATTAACATTTTGCAGAAAAAAAATACATATTTGCCTTTCCTTTTGGTAATGAGTACAGGAGCCATAGTAGATTTGAGTGTGTAGTAAATTTGCCACCTGACCTCTGAGGTGGCATGGCTATATTTTGTAGTTTGTGATTTTACCTCCCCCTGTAGAATTGTCCTGGGGCTAGAAGGAGAGCTGTTGGTCTCATCTAATGTGTTTACTAATTTGCATGCGGGCCCTTGACTGTGCTGTCTAACCTTGATTATTTCCTTCGGGGTGTTGAACTAGGTAATGTCAATGGATACTTCCAGTCACTTAATTCTGTGATATTAATGAATTAATTAAAGACAGGGTCTCACTATGTAGTTCGGGCTGACCTTAAACTCACTGTGTAGCCCAGGATGGCCATGAACTCATGGCAACCTTCCTGTCTCAGCTTTCTGAGTGCTGGGATTGTAGGTGTGCGCCACCACGCCCAGCAATGATTTTGTATTTTAAAGGGGAAGAGGGAGGCGATAATGACAAGTACAGCAATTCCTCACAGTGGGTCACACGGTGTAGGGGGTGGGCCTGGGAGGCAGACTGTGTGGAGTCGCATTTCCGCCTTTGCCTCACAGACCATCTTTACACAGACTGAAACTAATATGACGATCTGTTCATTTCAAGGGACATCGATAAAGTTGATGAGTTAATGCAAGATATTGCTGACCAGCAAGAACTCGCAGAGGAGATTTCAACAGCTATTTCTAAACCTGTAGGGTTTGGAGAAGAGTTTGACGAGGTGAGTGTTTTCACACAGCTCATGTAATCCTCCAGGATGACACGCAGGCTGTCATCCTGGGTCATCCAGCTGATGTGTTATTGAAGATTCGGACACAGGGATGTGTGGTTTGGAAATGACCCTCTCCAGACTTGGGTTAATCCTCCTTGAATTCTGGATTTTGAGGGATGTGGTTACTGATTGGGATAGGTGGAGTAAGAGAACCTTAATTAGGCCCCTTCATCGGGCTTGAGGCTAATAATTTAGTGAGAAGTGACCCTGCATCTCTCCATGGTGGGCATGGGCTCAGAGCTGGGGCAGCAAAGGTGACCATAGCCTGAAATTGACAGGATTCACCCTTACAGCTCTGACATGAGGTAAAGGAAACCCTGGAAGGGACGTTTACATCTGATCTCTGAGGGTCCTTTCTGGACCTTGGCCACCTACCACTTGCTGCTGTAGCAGTTTGGGATCTTGAGTCTTCTGGGTTGTTAAAATACAGCAGCGGTTCCTAGTACAGGTACTTCATTATGCCTTAGGTTTGAGTCCTTTGAAGGTCAGCCCCTCTCTGCTGAATGAAATTTTTTTGCTCTCAAACTCCCATTTTAGAATGAGAAAGTGGCCTTCACCTCTCACCTTTAGCTCCAGTTTTTCATAGTTTCAGACTGGAGGTGAATGGGCTAATCAGGTCTGTTTGAATCCAGCAAACATTCCCAAGCATTCATTCAGGACGTCCACTTGAGGTAAAGAAATAGGAATGAAATGATGCAGCCCCTCCTCCCGAGACACAGCCTGGCACAGGCCCCCCACATGTGCATGCATCAGTGAGAGCCCCAGTGGGAGCTTGTGAGGATGCCTGAGTCGGGGAGTTGTGGAGCCTGGGGCTCTCTTCTCCTCTTTCTCAGGGCATCAGGTCAGTGGCATGGCTGTGGGGCCAGCATTTCCAGGGAGGGCTCACGCACTCTTCCTTTTTACAGGATGAGCTCATGGCGGAATTAGAAGAACTAGAGCAGGAGGAGCTGGACAAGAATTTGCTGGAGATCAGTGGGCCTGAAACAGTTCCTTTACCAAATGTTCCCTCGATAGCACTACCATCCAAACCCAGTAAGTAAACCTCACTGCACAGCCTTGGGGCCCCATGATAAGTGGTCTTGTGGGTCAGTTGACTTCAGCTTGGATCCTGAGCTTATGCAGGATTGAGAACCAGATAGGATGTGTTGTGATCACAGTGACAGTGTCATCTGTCTTTTCCTGGTATCTCTAACCGAGTTTTTTAACCTCAGCACCATTGACTTGGAAGGATGATTCTGGGGGTAGTTGTGGGGATGGGGGAGGTGTCCTATGCACTGTTGGTATTTTGCAGCATCACTGGCCTCTCTGCTTGATGCCCAGCGCGCGCGCACACACCTGTGTATTGACACCCAAACCATCTCTAGACGTTGCCATATGTCCCCTGGGGTGGGGTGAGGAGTCACCCCCAGTCAAGAGCCTCTATTCTAGCACGATTTTCCTGTGTCACTAAGTAAGAGAGTTCCAGGTCCCATGAGAAGGTATGAAAGTTGAAGTTCAGGACAGCCCTTGTCTGGTGTCTTGAGTCCTATGCTGTGTGCACAAGAGCCTGGGCACTCAGAGGCAGCACTCGGGGATGGAAGCAGCTTTGGCTCTTTCAGAAACCTGCGTCCACAAGACCATCATTGCCTTCTCCCTGTTGCGACTTCCCCTCCCTCTCCACCCAAAGATTCTAGAAAAGGAGAAACAGTTGATTTGGCGTGGAACGTGAACTCGGTGCAGTGTGTGATGGGCTGTTGTCCCCATCCTTTCCCAAGTGTGGAGAGGAGAGGCCTTCATGTAGTCAGCTGTCTGGAGCAGTCTGCCCAGCAAGCCACCTGGGGGTGTATAGAGGTGATTCAGGTATCTTGTGGTGGAGCTGGGGGCCTGGCAGGGATTAGAGCTCGCGTGAGGGTCATGTCCCGTACTCCAGCTCCCCACCCTTTGGTGCTGTGAGACCGAGGCCTCTCAGGGTAGAACAACCCCTCCTGACGTGGCTGGCCCTGCTGGGGGCGGAAGGTGTGCCAGCTTCTGGAGTTTAGCCTGGCAGCGTCCAGGCCTGAGGAAAGGCACGGTGGGTACAGGGTGGGCTGTTTGGGCATCAGGGAGCACACACAGCCAACCCCCCTGAATTGCCTTTTCCCTCTTCCCACAGCCAAGAAGAAGGAAGAGGAAGACGAAGACATGAAGGAGTTGGAGAACTGGGCTGGATCCATATAATTGGCCTAGAGCAGCTGGGCCCAGACAGACTCTGACGGCCTGCGCGGCGGGCGGGCAGGCGTGTGCGTGTGCAGGGCAGGCAGGACGGTGCAGGCAGCCGCCCGCTCGAATCTCACTCCAAAGCAGCGGTTGCATCGCTGCTCACGCTCGCATAGCATGGC